CAGGCTATCTTCCCAGCAACATGCATACATGTCACTGATCTCCGGCAATGGAAACACTGATCGAAACTGAATCTGATAAAACAAGAGGAGTCAAGAATCCAAATTACTTACTTTCTATGTTTCCTAAAACATCCTTGGATGCTTTGCATTCTGAATCCAATATGGTGGAATCTAGGCCTTGTGAAAGTTTTCCTGGAATTCGGAATCCAGGAGCTTGGAATACGTAATCCAACAAACTCACCCACAGATTCCGTTTCATTGGGCGGTCTCATCTCTTTGAACTTATACTATTTTTTGATACAATATATAGGAACGCATCGAGGAACGAAACAGCCAAAATGAGCGAAACGGAATACGACTATGATCTTGACAATATCTGGGAGATGGCAACACAGATGTTGGATGGAAAATCGCCATCAGAAAAACAAGTTGAAAAGTTATACTGTGACATTAATAAATTCTGCAAAAATAATCCAGACCTCAAGCATGACATCATGTATTGCACTGAAGTTTACTTCCGGAACGTTCACCCTATACTTTTAAGAAATTGTTCCACCGAACGTCTCAAACGAGAGATGATGACAATTCTAAGAAATCTTTTTGACATTGCAAAACACTGGTACAAGACAGGAATTATCAAAGCCACCTTTCCGAAGAGCACCTTTCCATTTACAGAGCTGGCCAATACCAGTGCATTCAATGCAGGAATGAATTCGGTACGCATCTCAGCAGTGGTTGAAGGCTTTATTCTATGTAAAGAGTACTGGGAGAACAGCAAGTCCCTAGCCAGTGGAGAAATCAGTAACAAAGACTACCGAAAAAGACAGAATGGTTCCATTGCTAAATCTGTTATGTCGGTTGCGGGTAATGGTTTAGCAGGATATGGAGTTGCTTGGCTGTGTGCTGGTCTATCTGGTCCTGTAGGATGGGCAGCCTTTGGAGCTGGAATGGTAGGTGGAAGTTTGTTCTCGTATGGGTGTGGAGAACTTGGTCGTCAATACGGTGAACAATTATAGATTGAAACATCAATATAACCTACTTGCCCTGTTGACAAGTAAAAAATAACATAATAGACAATGGAGAGACAATGTCTTGTTATTTGTATTTCTTTTTTGGCTCGCATAATCACATGAACTGCTCAACATCAGTTTGTTCATTGTAGAAAAAAATGTACCATTAATATAGTAAATTATATAGCGACCAGTTTGCTACATGAAGAACTAATGGATAGATAGAATTTTGTTTTGTCTTTCGCTACTAAAGTTTATGCAGTATATATCACTGGATAAGATCGCGCGCTTTAAAGGTTCTAAATTTGATGTAAATATCATGTAAGTGTCCAAAATTCTGTAAATTTAATGGAAATCATTTACATCAAATTTACAGACTTTTGGACACTTACATCATATTTACATTAAATTTACAACCTTTAAATGGCGCGATTTTTTCCAGTGTATACCTTTGATCCTTTTCCTACTTTTTGCATGTTGTAATATTGCTAAATATTTTACACCTCTGGTGCTTACTTCATGACATTTCGCATTCTTAATGAGTTGCAAGTTTGTATAAGTTCAATAATTAATTAGTTTTTTGTTTGATTCTCATTGCTCTTTATCAATTTTAAGTATAACACAATATTAGTACTTCTTGAGAGCTTTTAATCTATGTACAACCATAAAGGTCAGTCGTTGTATTAAGGTCATATATCTAGAATTATGACTTGTGGAACACACGCTCAGTTTATGTTAAATAATCTTATGTAATCTGACGTATATACTTGTATACGCAGCACTAGCTGCGCTAAGAGGATTGCTTTTGCAAGCTTTCTGTCGTATGGACTTTTATTGTACGAGATATAAACAAGTAGTTGTACCTAACCTGTGTCGTTTGGAGTACCTACCGCATAATCTCGTACCCAGAGCCCGCACTTTTGGCATCCAGCGCTGACATAAGCCGTGAAGACTTTGGGCTCGAGATTGTTCCTGCATAGCAACGCAAGCGTCTTAACTCAGACATTGCTGGACCATTTCACGCATAGACCATATCGCAACCCGCGGAAAGCATTGTGACGCAGTGCATTTTGGGATTGATAAATGAGTAAACAAGTTAACAACGATGTCAGTGGTCCAGTTGTCTGTAACGTAGACTCAGTTTTCGAAAAACATTGGGAAATATTGATATTGTAGTTAATCTCAGAAGCGAAAAAAACAAACAAATATCAACATGCAAGGAANGAGACCGATTTATTTTTAATTGACGATTCATTTTCTTAATACACTGGAAAAAATCGCGCGCTTTAAAGGTTGTAAATTTGATGTAAATATGATGTAAGTGTCCAAAATTCTGTAAATTTAATGGGAATCATTTACATCAAATTTACAGAATTTTGGACACTTACATCATATTTACATCAAATTTACAACCTTTAAAGCGCGCGATTTTTTCCAGTGTATTAAGAAAATGAATCGTCAATTAAAAATAAATCGGTCTCTACATGAATCACATTCATCTAGTGGGTTAAATATCAAATCTTGGAAAAAAAGGTTGAGATTAAATGCAGCTTTGATTGCCCTATTTACCCAGCCACTCAATGTTGTCAGGGCAAAAACAGCGTCCAAAAGGTATGTGTAGTCTCTACAACAGCGGGGGTTGGGGTTGGAAAGGAAAAACAGAAATCATTATACAAAGACTTTGCCTTGTTATTTTTGGTCCATTACACAACAAGCGCCACAGGAAAGGTTGCAGCCACCCAAGATAGAACCACCAAGTRCGTTCCTCTTCATACATTGATCCACAGTTCTAAGCAGTCTTTCTATAGGGTAAGTCAAATGTCTAAGGCGTCTCCTACAAATGTATTACGGTAACACATAACACAAGGTCTTATTCTCATTCGATGTCATTAGTTTACTTTCTCTATATATGGTCATATGTAGTAACTTGATTGTACCGATATCATTAAATTCGAGCCGTTTATTCGTTCCTCGTGAACTCAGCTTGTTGATGTTCAGTTTTCTTGAATTCTGTTTTTATTAAGTCTCTTTTTTTACTGTTTCCAAGTAGGACAACGCGTACGTTTCATGTCGAAAACATCAGTTAGTACTATGACAAACGGCGGGCAATCATAATGACAGCGATCAAAMGTTTCCACTATACTGATGTGTGAATACTATTCCAAAACTACATGCATTTTTATGATTTTTGTATGATTTAAAAAGGACTGGAAATTCTTTTCTTTGTGGTGTGAAGTGTCTAAAATAAAGTTATGTTTAATTGTTCTGTGTGTTGTTTGCGTATCAAACCTTACAAAATTGTCATCTACATAGATCTTTTCTGAAATAGCACAGCGCGTTACATTGCATGGTCTAGATTCGATACAAATATATCTTTTCTTTTCTGCTCCCAAATATGGTTATATTGTTTATACTGAAGCTAGACCACAATGCAACATGATTTCATATTCAGATTATATTCCTGAAATATAAGATAAAATATGTGTCTTTTTGATATGCAAAAATATAACACCTAAATTTCTTGACAGATTATCGAGTACTAATCGATCAAAATCAGCCATGAAGATAAGGATCTTGACTGTGTTCATCCTGTTTTGAGCCATTGTCTTGTTATGAAGGCAAGCCGAAAGAAGATGGCGAGACTAGACACGCTGCCAAGCGAGACAGTGATCTCGACAGCATTAAAAAGTTGCTGTGGGTGGCTCAGCAACAGGAAAACCAGCGTGGTTCAGCCTGGAAAGATGACGGAGATGTTAGGGACGAAGACGATGACGTGGGCAATGACCGTTCAAAACTCACCAAGGAAAACTTTAGAGGTCGAGGTTAATTAAGGAGAAATGGCTTCTTTTTCGAGCTAATAGATATTCAAACACAGAAAAAGATAAATTGTAACTGAGCAATAGTAAAATAAAATATGGGCTTGATAAGGGAATCTTAGCTCAGTTTTCTTGTATTTTAGTATCATCCACACACGAATTCGGAATCCACAGTTCCCATGCGCATCAATTATTCTAATTATATTTTTCTTTGAAAAACTGAGAATATTCTGTGCACGAGATTGGTGTCAACGATGTCATTGATTTGGTTCATTGCGTGCAGCCCAAAACCTACGGATTACACCTCAGCCAACCCGTACACGTACGTAAACACGGAAAAACCATCGAGTTTCTAGTTAACAAATGATGGCATTTAGTAATAGCCATGGTCGTTGTGCTTTATATATTAAACTGTGAGACAAAACAAGCTCACCTGGGTACCCCAAGGTCTCGATTAAGAACTGCGCAATATTTATCTGGAGAGGGGGAGGGGGGAATTTAAATCTAATTTCATGCACAAAATCTAATTTTATGTGCTTAAACAATCTCGTTCCAGAGCCCGCGTTCCTCTTGGCCTGAGGGCGCGAGCAACCACGAACTCTGGCCTAATCCATATTTTTCATCAGATTTTCTGGTGTTCCGGTTAAATTGCGCATGCGTGTCAAAAAGAAAAATGGCGGAAAATTTGTTTTATAGTTCGCTAGACCACGGTCTATCGGCTATAGGAATGCCAAATTTAGCTTTGAAATCCAAACAACTTGAAATTTTAGAAAGTGTTGTTGTGTTGGCCGGTAAAGACATTTGAAATTTTGAATTTTTTCGCTAATACTAACGAGATTTGTGGMGCAYAGTCTACATAAATATCCAGAGAAACCGTCGTCTTCATGTATGTTATCTACTGAGCATATATCTTGCAAAGACGTTAAAACGCCCTCTCTCCTCGACTTGTTTCCAAACGAATCTACTTTGTAGCGATCTAAAAGTTTATTGCAAAGTCTACAAGTATTATAAACTTGCTGCGTCGCCGCTTTCTTCGGAGAAGACATTGCCACACTCTGTTGCTACACTTTACAATTAATTTTTGTTTACAATTTTGCAACATCTTCAGTGGGGCTAGGACTCCTCGTCGCGCTCGCGCCCGAATTTTGGCGCTGTTTTTCGCAACTATGATTGGTCAAATTTTACTTCCGGAGACGTCCGCATTCGTAATGAGGAAATTCTATNATATTTTTCTTTGAAAAACTGAGAATATTCTGTGCACGAGATTGGTGTCAACGATGTCATTGATTTGGTTCATTGCGTGCAGCCCAAAACCTACGGATTACACCTCAGCCAACCCGTACACGTACGTAAACACGGAAAAACCAGCGAGTTTCTAGTTAACAAATGATGGCATTTAGTAATAGCCATGGTCGTTGTACTTTCTATATTAAACTGTGAGACAAACAAGCTCACATGGGTACCCCAAGGTCTCGATTAAGAACTGCGCAATTTTTATCAGGAGAGGGGGGGGAGGGAATTAAAATGATCTTATTTCATGCACAAAATCTAATTTTATGTGCTTAAAGAGGGGGCAACGTCTAATATTAACTACAGTTTTAATTGGCAACAGAAAAATCGAACGGTGTCAGATTATTATTGAGGTGGAAAACTTCTCAAGAAATGCGTGCTACGATTTGCGACAACTCTTTATTCAACCCCACCCCTCCGCACCTCTTCTCCTGATGAATATTGCACAGTCTCTTAGCAATTGTATTACACGGACTTCAGGAAATTACTTTAAAATAACCGTCTTTAATGCAATTTTAATGAATATCTATTTACACAAAGACTGATTCCATAAGTCAAAGTATTCGCTTCCGGCCTCGATCTTTCCGGCCTCGATCTTGTCGCTCAAACTCTCGACAATGAGGAAACTGGATCCGACTTAATATGGAATCAGTCTATTCATACACAATAGTCATACATTCAATGAGATAATGGTTACATTCGTCATAGCAATTCCTTAGAAACCCAACTATCGTTCACCTTAATGACGTCATGTCTGTTTTGTCGAGGTGCATCATGGTAATGAAAAAAATCTCAAGATGGCGGATGTCTCAAAGCTACGAAGGACCATGATGAAAGACTTATTTTTTTACAAAATTAACGTTGTCTCTTATCTTAAGCAATAAAGGCCTGGGAACCAGGTTGACAATAAGCAAAGAGCAATSAAGTCATCATACAGTGAATGTACTGTACCCACCCTCGATGTATGCTATTCACTTAGGGATGGGTCATTATTTAATTCGGAGGGGGGGTGGAGGAGAAATTGGGGGGCCCTGAAATAATTTCATTGGAAAATAGGGGGGTCTTGAATGTTTAAAATCATAGTTTAGGGGGGTCTTGAGAGTACACGAAATCAATATTTTTTCAAATATAGTAGGCAACCACTCTTGTAGGCGACCACGAYTACCTTTGGGATTGAAATTGGAACGTGAATAACAACATTGTGACTAATGTGTTATTTYATAAATAGTTARACTGGCTACCATGTGATTCATTTTCAAATGAAAAAGCACATTTTAAATGTTATATATTACTGGTCTATCATCATTTCTCTCTCTCGCCAGGAGGCGCGTAAGGCCTGCACTCTATTTTTCCACCCACCTCTGTCCCTTGCTGCTGTTTTGGCTTCATCCCAGCTCCTCCACCCTWCYCTGTTCCGRTSTTTTAGTACTGTACTCCTCCATGTTATCTTTTGTTTCCCCTTTGCACTGCTTCCCTTTGGTGGTGTCCACTCCCAAGGCTGTCAAACAGTCATTTTCTTGCTCTCCCCTTATAAGTATATGCCCAATCCATTTCCATCTTCTTTGACGTATTTTACTACTAATGTTCTCACCTTCTCCCACTTCCCTGACCCTCTCATTTGAAATTTTCTCCGACCATTTAACATTATTTACTCCTCAGGATCCCGTTTTTCTCATCGTTGGTCAATTTCCATAAAAAAATAATAACAAAACAGGTTCAACTAGCGAGTCAAACATTTTTAGTTTCGTCTTCCTTCCAATTCCTCTCACTGACCAGACCCTCCCTAAGCTACTTTTAAACACACCACGAGCTTTCTGAATACGGTTGGCAATGTCCTTATCTCCACCTCCTTCCGTGTCTACTGTTGCTGCTAAGTATATAAACTCATCACTAGTATCCTCAACCTGGTGATAGTTGTACAAAATTATTCCCTGAAGAGGTCTACGTTAGAGAAACGAAACAAGTACGAAATTAAAAACGTTTACAGCTCATATTCTAAGAGTTCTCCTTAGTGCTGCTCACTAGTCATAGTTGAAAAATAAAAAAATATAATTTTCCAATATTTGAATCATTTTTGTTGAGGGGGGTCCTGAATTTTCATCATCAATGGGAAAGGGGGTTCCGAAAAAAAACTAATTCTATCAAGGGGGGTTCTGAAAATTTTTGTCGACTAAAAGCCTTTTCTCCTCCATCCCCCCCCCCCCGTGCCTCCCCTCCCCCAAGTAAATTATAGATAACATCTCAATGCTTTGTCAGTGTGACAGTGCTGTGCGTGTTGGAAGAGACAGAGCTGCCATGTAACCCTGTGCTCCTTTTCATACTCGCTTTCGCCTACTACCCAACACTGGAAAAAATTGCGCACTTTTTAAAAAGGTTGTAAGTTTGATGTAAATATTACAATATGTCTAAAATAATGAAAATTTGATGTAAATGATTTACATCAAATTTAGTGGGAGCTAGCGGTAAACAAGCGTAAGCTGCGTCGGTGTTTCTAAAGAAACAGTTGTGAAAAAAAGATGAATTATTTAAACACCGTAAAAATGTAGGGGAAATAACTTACTGACGTTCCGAACGTTAATCGTATCAGTTTGGACACTTACATCATATTTACATCAAATTTACAGCAACCTTTTAAAGTTCACAATTTTTCCAGTGAAAACACCAACGTCGCCCAAACACATCCACTGGTGATGGGATTCAGCTAGTAGTTTTTGAACTAGTGACATATCCCAGAAGATTATCCTATTTTCTACAACTATTTCACACAAAAAATGTGAAATTTCCATTTAACACGTGAAACACTGACGTGCAACACTTAATTACTTATTAGAGTGCACGCCACATAAGTGTGAAACAATTCTTAACTATTTAGCGCCTGATAAGATTTAGTTATCAACTATAACTAAGAATTCAGAGAGGCATAAACAAAAGACAATTTCATTTCTGGCATTTTCTTCCATGCCCCAGTGAATTCTTAGTTATTAGTTGATAACTAAATCTTATCAGTTGTTGATTGTGAGGAATCGTTTCACGCTTCTATCGTGTGCACTCTACTTTGCACGTTTTTCTTTTTTTGTCACTCAACACTCCAGCCCCCTCGTGACTCCCCCATCCGCTTTGCTTAACACTTTGCTTCACGAGTTAATGAAAACAGCTCTCTATAAACTGTTTCTAATGTTATATTCAATAGAATATCACTGTGTGAATCTATGTTCTTGCAACTATGATAAGCTTTATAAAGAAAAACATTTGTAAAATAATAGATTAATAAGGGAATCTTAGCTCAGTTTTCTTGTATTTTAGTATCATCCACACACGAATTCGGAATCCACAGTTCCCATGCGTATCAATTATTCTAATCATATTTTTCTTTGAAAAACTGAGAATATTCTGTGCACGAGATTGGTGTCAACGATGTCATTGATTTGGTTCATTGCGTGCAGCCCAAAACCTACGGATTACACCTCAGCCAACCC